ATACTCCTGGGTTTCAATATTTTCTCCCTAAATTCCAGAGTTCAATCTTACTGGCCTGAATCGGGCCACTTGCCCCAGCCCTTGACCAATCCCTGTTGACAGGAGTAAGAAATATGCTAATTGACCAGTATGGGTCACATGTCCATCTAGGAGCCTTTCCCGTGAGAATCACCTGGAGGTCATTCCCTAGAGAGAAACCAAGGTGCCACTAGCAGGTAAAGAATCAGGGGAGGAGGGACCACCCCAAACCCTGTTCAGACTCCCTCCACTGGTGGAGATCAAGGTTTGCAAGAAGGTGCTGAGCAGGTACTGTGACACACTGGATCTTTCTTGAGTGTGACTCCTGTTTCCTTCACTACACTTGAGCTCCTTCATGGGGGATGTGGGTCTGTGATTGCTCGTGGATCTCCCCTCAGCACCCTCTAGCTCCCTTGTTTATTTGTGTAGACTCCATGAAGAGAGAACGGATGTCTGGTCTAGACATTTGAAACCCCTTCCTCTAGCCGAGGAGGTTGGAATTCATGGGATCTAAAGTTAGGAGCCATTCTGCAATATTTAAGTCCCAAGATGAATACAGGCAGGCAACAATTGACAAACACTCAGGGCAGCCTCTTTCTATTTTTAGTTCAGATACTTATAGAATGACATCCGAGGGCTCAAACGCCCACTGGCCTGCAACTGGGAGTCACACAGCCTGATTCTGCCCAAATAAGGGTGGCAAAAACTGTCAGTCCCCCAGTCAGGGTGGACCCAACAGGTGGACAGCACACAGAGGTCTGGATGCCAGGGATGGGCCCTTCGTGGGTCAGATTCCAACGGAGTTGGGCAAGGCCACACCATGCCTTCTGCTCCCTCCATAACAGCTCGCCTCCACTTTCTTGAAGAGCCCTGCTGTCTTCCTCTGGAGGCAGTAGTGTGTTCCCGGAGGCCAAAAGGCTTTGGGAAAATTTACTTTTGCGGGAGGCTCCTTGTTTCCTGGAAGCTCTTTGCAGAGTAAGCCAGAAGTTGGAGGGGCTGCAGAGAGGGGACTGGAACCTGCCACCTTGGCAGGAAGGGGCAGAGTATCAAGTCCAAATGGGGCATCAGCCAGAAGGCAGAGACTCCAGAATCAAGAGTCCATGGCGTGTTTTTGTACAAGTGGGAAAAAGAGCACCTGTATTCAGGACCCCAGCTGACCACACATCGAGGTTGTATGGGTATAGACTAAGGAAGGCTCCTGAAAGTTCCAGAATCTTAACAGGCCCATCTAGAGGCAACTGCAGGAGCCATAATCCAATCCGGCACTTGGTTTAGTATGGACAGTCGAGGAGATGTGTCAGCTAATCTCCTAGGGCTGGTGACAGCAAGTGGATGGGTTCAAGCCACATGGGGCCAGTAAGTCTACTGGTTAGGAGGTCCTTGATCACACCCTCTCCCATAGCAGGGACACTAGCCTAATGCAACCAGCCCTTCTTAGACTCTCCCTGGGTCTGAGAGCCCATCCTCTGGGTACTAAGCTCCCTCCCTCCTCCTTTTGGTGTGAGAGCCTATAGAATTCCCTCAGAGAACATGCAGTGAGGGTCTTGCTGGTTCTCTACGTGTGGGCTTTCCCTAGGGTCTGAACAAGGTGCAGAATATTCTGGAATCCTCTGGCTGTGCTGACAAGCCCTGCTAGGATCATCCATGCTCCTTTGTAGAGCCAGGGGACATCAGCTTTGGGGCTTGCGGGGGGGTCTGTGGCCCAGGAGGCCCTGCCCCCACTCATGACCCTGGCAGGAAGCAGAGGTTATCTGGCAAAGCAGGTACGCTCAAGCTCCTCACGAATGCAGGTCAGAGCTCCACGTGCAGACAGAGGGCTGCATTGAGGGATCTCCCTCCCTGAGGAGGGGAAAGGCTGCCGCCGAGTGGCGAGTGGTGGTTGGGCTGGCTAGGAGGAATCACAGGGATGCTGGAGGGCACAGCTCCACCATCCAGGTGTCTCCTGCAACGAACTCCACAGAGGACATTCACTCAGCCCCTAAGGCCCACACCACAAGGAGGGCCTGAAGTCCAGAGGGCCAAAGGGCCAGGGAGAGGGCAAGCCTCAGGGCTTAGAGGGGACACAGGATGGAGCCTGAGGGTGGTGTCAAAGGGGCCTGCCCCTGTCCGGGGCTGAGCTGACTGCCAGCCATGAACGCGGGGAAGAGCAGTGAGAGCCAAGTGTTCAGGACAGTGCTTTCTCCTCTCTTCCATCAGTGGTCAGAGCTGCCCAGGCAAAGCCTCTGTGTGGATCCCCTGTGTGTCGACTTGTGTTTCTCTGTGCACACTTCTCTCTGTGGCTCTCACACGCTTTCTAATCTGTGCCCTTAATTCTTTTTCTGTCAAAATTTCATCTCAGGCTGGAATAAAGTTTTCAGACTGGATGCTCCCTACTGACAGCCACAGTCACCAAGGGGAAGGTCCTAGAGGAGGGAACCAGGCAAGATGTTAACATGTGAAGGGACAGGGGCGGCTGTCCCATAGGGACCTTCTGCCCTGAAAAGCCAGAGAGAAGCAGAGGCATCAGGTGGTGTCTGGTCCAGGGTAAGGTCATAGCCTGCGAAGCTCCTAGTTTAGGGTGTCAGCCCAGAAACCCCACGCCCATCCCAGCCGTTCTGTCCAACACAGGGTTTCGCCCCAGCTCCAGAACAGTTCTCAAGCTGGCTGGAGCCCCAGGGTTCACTTAAAGACATAAAAAGAGACAGTATAATGAAGCTCATTAGGGTCTTTAGAGGCCTGACAAAATCAAGGTCATTGTGTGCAGCTGTGTGGGGGTTCGAGCATGCTTGTCTTCTATTGAAGAGAGAAATTGGTCGATTTCCAGAGGGGCCTGTGAGTAGAACAAGGCTGGGAACTTTTCTTTCAGAATTCCCAAGCTTTATTCACTCACCAAGTTGAGCCTCTAGAAAATCCTGAAGCCCGTTACTATGACTTCTGTTTTACTCAGCTTTTTTTGCTGCAGTGACTAAAGGACCTGACCAGCACAATTGTACAGGAAAAAAAATGTTTATTTGAGGACTCAGGGGTTCAGAAGTCTTAGTCCATAGAAGGCCAGCTTCATTTCTCAGGTCTCAGGTGAGGCTGAGCAGGAGAGTGTGGGGGCAGGAAGTGGCTCACGTGATGATCACAAAGCAGAGAGAGTCTCCACTTGTCAGCAACAAGTATATACCCAAAGCCACACCTCAATTCTCACCTCCTCCAGCCACACCCTACCATGTCAGTTTCCCCTCAGTTAATCTCTATTAGGGGATTAAATCACTGATTGGGTTAAGACTCTTAACAACTCAATCATTTCTCCTCTGAACCTTCTTGCATTGTTTCACACGTGAGCTTTTGGGGGATACCTCACATCCAAGCCATAACAATTCCTTTCCCACCAATTACATGCAGAACAAGATTGTGCTCTGTGGAGGTCCAACCTTACACATAATGCTGGGCGTCATTGGGGGTGAAGAAGGTCTTTGCCACGTGGGTCGTAAGGCGAAACCTCTTGAAGCTAAGCTGGGAAGAACTGGTCTTTCCCACCCAAGTCACCTCTTTCCTTTCATGGGAAATGGCTTGTGGCACTTTCTCCTCTGCCTGTGCCTGGAAACTTGAATGAGGCTGGGACCTAACCATTTGTCCCCAGCCCAAGCCCATTTGGCCATGGACTTTTGATGGTTTGGATGCTACCGTCCTTCTTATCTATATTTTTGCTTTCTGAGGTTTTATTTACCTATAGATAAAAGCCACCTGAAAATATTAATGGCAAAAATAAGCAGTTCTTAAATGTTAAATAACTTTTTATAGTATCCTGTTATAATTATTCTACTTTATTATTAGTTATTATAGCTAATCTCTTACTGTGTGTAATTTGTAAACTTTATCATAGGTTTGTAGGGTTTGGCACTCTGTGGTTTCAGGCATCCACTGGGGATCTTGGAGGGTATTCCTATGGATGGGGGGGTACTGTATTTTATCATTACTCTCCTCCTCTGATACAATAAAGGGCTCTGCTACTTTTTTGTATTAGCTGTTGGGCACCATTAAGTCCTTATAGTCTTTGGCTCCTCATTCATTCAATGGTAATAGTCAGTGTCCATCTCACAGAACCATTGCTGTATTAAATTTGTGTGTGCCTGTTCTGCAACCCCATATCTGTCTCAAAGTAAGCGGCCAACGAACACACAACTTCCTCTCCACGTTTCACAGTCTTGCTCAGCCTGTCTGTGACACCACCAGACCTGTTTGAGCAGGACTTCCTGTCTTAAGGTTTCAAGTCCTGGCTAGAAGTAAGAAAGTGATAGAACCCCATAACATGTTCTATCACTTTCACTCATTAACTCATTCAGCAGTCATATATTGATACCTCTGATGTGTCAGATGCTGGGTCAAATGCTGGCTATGTACTATGCAGCCCAAGGGGAAGACCAGAAAAAGAGGCATTCAATGGGGTTAATAGCTGAGAAACTCTTAGGATGGTGCCTGGCACAGGGTACTGCTATGTAAATGTTCCTAAATAAATATCAGCATTGTCAGTGAGGTGGTATGCATGGTGGCTATGGGGCCCCAAAGAAGCATCAGGAAAGTGACACAGAACTAACAGCAGGCAAGGGAGTAGAGGGGAACAGATGGGGCCAAGCAGAAGGAGTGGGCCAGGGCAGGAGATGCTCAATCCATGCACTAGGGAACTGAAAGTGCTGCCATCCCCTGGACTAGGGGCCTGTGAAAGTGACCGGATTTCCCAGCCTCGAGGCAGGCTAAGGTTGGCATGTGGGTCTTATAAACTGTTAAGCTGCTGTTTTGCCTGAGCTCTGCAGAACCTTGTCCCTGGTCTGGGTTTTGAGGAGGGGTTGCTAGCATCCCTAAAACACCCCAAGATTCTGTGGCAATCAGAAGTCCACTGAGCTCCTGAGCGTGGTTGGGGACGTGGTTTTGGCCTGTGACCCGTGGCTGATCTCAGCAGCTCTGTTCCTGTCGACCTCTGGCTTTCCAACCAGGATCTGGGTTTTCTTTCTTTGCAGATGTTGGAGGAGCTCAAGTGCTGGCAACGGACAAGTCTGCTGGGGAAGAAATTGGTAGGTGGTCTCCTAAGTTATTCTGGGTGCAGATGAGAGTCAAGAAAGAGACCCTCCAAAAAGCACACGATGGTGGGGGGCTGCTGGTGTCCGTTTCCTGCTAGTCAGCACATAGGACTGGGCTGGGTTTACGTGCAGGCCAGCCTGAGTGGCCAACAGCTTTATCCTGGGGCCAGGTCCTGCAAGCCTGTCCTCAAAGGAGATATGAGACATCAAAGGCACCTTTGTCTCCTCTCTGTGTCTGATGTTCGGCTCCAGCACCCACAATGCCCCACGTGGTAGCTGGGATCCCCCAGAAAACCACATCTGTCTGACTCTTAGGACTCCCAGGCCAGCCCAGCCCACTTTTGTCATGTGGCATTAGGGTGAGCTCCAGCTGATTCCACGTCCCTCAAAGACAAGACAGGACCTGATTTATTTGCCTTCAGCCTTCTCATATAGCATCAGACTAACACACTCAATAAATTAATCAATCAATTAATGAAGGGATAAGTGAGGAAGGGCTATAGGAGACCACAAAGGTTAGCTGCCCACCACCTAGGGCTGGGCTGGGGTGAACTGGTCACCTCAAGGGCTGACTTTGAATGACCTTAGAAATGTCAGAATTGTTCCCATAGCTGAAGTTTTCCAGTGAGATGGGAAATGAAGAGAATTAATGTGCTCTCAGGAGAGGGGAAAAGAGGCTGCCACAGCAGGTCTGAGTGTGGAATGTGAAGGTCCAGATGCATGACTTTGGACTTCACCAGAGCTGTGGAAGAGCTTTGCAGGGTGATGAGTAATCCTGTGTTCAATTCCTACCTGTGCTGTAGATTTTAAATACGCCATCATTGGGACTGCTCTGGGCTTTGCCATATCCGCCAGCTTCCTGGCTCTGAAGATCTGCCTGATCAGGAAGCACCTGACAGACGACGACTCCTCAGACCTGAAGAGTGTACACCCGGCCTGCAATGGTAAGGGGCCTGCGACACTCAGACCCTGCTCTTCCCTGCCTGAGGAGGGACAGTGCATTAGTCAGCTTTTCATTACTGTGACAAAATACTTCAGCACATCAGCTTAAAAAGAGGAAAGGTGTATTCTGGCTCACAGTTTTGGAGGTTTCAGTCCATGATTGATGGGCCCTCTTGCTTTGGGGCCTGTGGAGGCACAGTATGTCACAGCAGTAGTGCATGGTGGTAGAAGTGCCTATATCTCAGGGCCAGGATGAGAAAGAGAGGGAAGAGGCCCCCATCTAATGATCTCCTTGGAGAGGCCTCCAAGACCTAAGGCCTCCCATAAAGCCCCAGGTTTTAAAGGTTCACCTTCTCCCAGCAGCACCGTGAACTGGGGACGCCGTTAACACCTGGGCACTGGGGAAACATTCCCGATCCAAAAAGTAGCTGACAGTGTTCTGGGAGGCCACCCACCGTGAAGCATGGCTATGGTGAGGCCAATTCCATAACCACAGCCCGAGAAACTACAAAACCCCAGGCCCAGAGCCCCATAGGCTTCAGGCAAAAAAGCGCAGTGGCCTCTCTGTTTCTGTCTCTATCTCTTTCTTCTTGTGTCTCAGTCTCTCTGTCTCTTCGGTATCTCTCTCTCTCTGTACTTTTCTTTTTTCAGTGGCTCTTGGTCTTCCTGAGAACCAGTTTTCCAGGAGAAAGGTGGAAAGAAGACGGGCAATTGGCTTCAAAAAGAGATTTCTATCCTCTTATGCAAATGACGTGGTCAGATAAGATTGATCCCAGGAAATCAGGTGGTCCTAAGCATGAGTGGGTGGTCGAAGGTGCTGTGGTCATTGTTAGGTGGACCCAATTGGGCAAGTCCCTCATGGTCCCCACAGAGCTGGGCTCGTGGTGTTGCTGCCCCTGTCCTGTGGCACCTTCAGGAAAGGGCCTCCTAAGCTGATGCGGCACAGAGTCAGCTTCTGACTTTCGGTAGAGGAATGCAACTTTGATGTGCAAGCCCTTCCTCTCAAGGTGTCACCCACAAAATATTGTCTGCCGTGTTAGTCTCTTAACACGATGGTGATGCAGTTTTCCATGAGGTATTTCTGAGGATGAGGAGGACGGACCCTCACTGTGTTTCTAGAAACTTCAATTATGATCTGTGAAAATATGTGGAAAGGGGTGGTCGGGGCCATGTGCAGCGCCGTGGGCTTCCAGGTGCACGAGGACGCCGTTGGTCACCAGCTTATCCCTGAGGTCGTATCCCTAGCGGGAAGAGGTCAGGAAACACTCTGTCCCATACTTCCCAGCCAGTGACCCAGCCCAGGAGCCGGCTTCTCAGCGCTGCCCAAGTTGTCTGGCTCTGGCCCCTCACCTCTGCACTATGGGGCTGAGAGCTGCCCCAGGGGCCACCCGACCTCCTTCCTAATGCCCTGCTTTCTCTGTTTAGACACCATCATGCGAAAGAAGAGACCCTCAAGGTAAGGTCGATGCTGAGGCGGTCAGTGAGGGGGTCACTTTCCCTTCTCTCTTAGCCACTACCTCTCTGCTATCCACCAGCTTCTCTAGGGGACTAGAATGCACCCCATACCTCCCTCCTCCTGCTCTCTGCTTTGGATCAGTGGGCAGTTATCATGAGAATAGGGGACACAGGATACAGTAGCAAAGGGGCTGGGGCTTGCTTTTGAACTCCCTGGATTAGATTCTGCCCCACCCTGTGCTCAGAGCCCTCCAGTGCATCTCCCATGCTCAGAATGAGGTAGGCAGCCCCTGCCCTGACCTGGTAGGGAGGATATAGAGTCTGCCCCAAATTTCTTAGCTTATTTGCTGGTATCTTGTCACTCTGCTTTAATCCATGGACAGTCCTACCTTGGGGCCTTTGCACGTACTGTTTTCTAACATGGGAATACTCTTTTCCCCAGATAGCCATATGCCTCATCCCTCATTTCCTTCACATCTATGCTTCAGTGTTACTGTTTCATTTCAGATGGCCCATTTTAAATAGAAACCTCCCCTCCACAGTTCTACCTGGCTTTATTTTTCTTTATAACTTTTCTACTAATTGACATTATAGGAATATGAGCTTGTCTCTTTCTGATGCTTGTTGTCCTTAAAATGCAAGCTACTTGAGGATGGGGGTTTTCCTTTTCATATCTGTGGCCCTGCCACTTAGGATAGTGCCTTAGGATAGTACCTTAGGATAGTGGATAGTCGTGCATGAATTGAACAAATAAAATGAATGAGCATGAGAAGAGAGAAAACAAGCTCCCTCGCCCGACAGAGGACACAGGCAGTTAGAGGTGACCTAACTGAGACAGAGCCACACACATGTGGCATGAGGTGCAGAGGGGTGCACAGCTGGCTGGGAAGCAGTAGGTAGGGGGAGTAGGCGAGCCTCAGTCGGCCTGTGGAAGGAGCAAGTCAAACAGACAGAAGGAACTTTGGCACACGCAGGCTCCCTTGGGTACCATGGAAAACATTTGGCCAAGAAGCAAACGTTAGGGCAGAAGCAAATGCTTCATATGGAGGTGCGGAGAGAAGGGGTTGGGGAGAGAAGAAATTTCTACTCCTGAAGGATCCGATGGTCTTGCGTTAGGTGAAGGAGTCTGAATCCTATCCTGAAACTTCTGGTCAACCACTGATGGATTCTAAGACGGGGGGAGATGGGATGTTTTTCATTATGGGAGGGGGCTCAGGTGGAGATAGGGAGCCATGTTGGAAGTCCCAGGAGAGATCACGACCTGCTGCAAAGCCCTGCTGGAGGAGCAAGCTGGCCGGAGGCAACAGAGGAGATGAGGGAGGGGCAAGTTCTGGAGTATTATGAGGCATTAGCCTAGAGGAGGCCATTCCCGTAATCCAGATGGGAAGATTACAGTCCTTGTTTCAATAATAAACCTTTTGAAGCAAAGTTCCATATAAAAGAATGTGAATGTGAAGAGGTACTAGAGGAAGATGGGTGGGCAAAGGAAGGGAAGGAATAGAGGGACTTTGGAAGAGAAGGGAAGCACAGTTCAAGTTTCCAAAACTAACACTAGATGGAGTCAGGCTGGATTCAGGAAGGCAGTAGGCCCCAAAGAAGCAGTTAAAGCAGTTAATCACAAGGAAGCCATTCTCCTGCAGTCGGGCTTCATGTGTGCTTTCTGTCTTTAGGACTTGGTAAATGAACATATTCTCTCTCTCTCTCTCTCTCTCTCTCTCTCTCTCTCACACACACACACACACACACACACACACACACACACACACACACACACAGAGGCTAAACCTCAATTTCTCCAAGAGGTGAGTTTTAAAAATGATCATTTTTACTCAAAGAGAGGAGGTGGTCACTGCCCCATGGTGATGGTGGCTCTTCTGCATGCCTAGACAGGGATTGCTAGCCACTGGCCAGAAGCCTTACGCCAAGACAGCCGAGAGAGCAGGAATCAGCATCTTTTTGGATGCTGTGGAACATTCTCACGGGGTGGGACTTTGGCAAGACTTAGAGTGAAGCGGTGGGCCATTTGCTGAACCAGAGCCCAGGAAACTGGGTCTTAACAGGAAGATAGTTTTTTTTCTCCTCCACTTATCAAGACCTTTTCTTTGACAGTGGCCAAGCGAATCATTAGTCAATTTAGTTCAATTGATGAACAACAGATTCCAAACATTTCTCTTTGTTATCAAGCTGTCTGATTGGCTGAATGCGGGCTTCTCAGTGCTGCTTTGGGGTCTCAGAGTGAACAAAGGCTGCTTGTACCACACAGGGGCAGCAGGAAGGGGGACAGGATCTTGGTCTCCTGATTGAACAAGCCCTACTCTTAGGACAGAGAACACTCCACTGGCTTATCTGAATGATGCTTTCACAATCCACAATCCCCACCCTACTCCTCCTCACTTAAGGAATGGCTCATGCGCTGTAGCTTATATGACAGGCTCTGTATGACGTGCACAGGGTGGTCATCCAAGGCCAGAGTGCTTTCCTGTCTTCTCTCTTGCCCTTTGTCTATTTAAAAAATCTTCAAATATACAGGAGTGAAAGAACAGTACCTTAAAAACGTATACCTCTTGCACCCAGATCCACTAACATTTTGCAGCTTTTGTTTTATCTCTGTATATAGAACCTCCCCTTGTTAACGGATCCACTTGAATATCAGTGTAGATATCATGAGATTTCACCCCTAAATACATCACCATTTTATCTCCCACTTAATCCCAATACAATGACCACTCCTAACAAGATAATATCATGTTTTATCCAGTCCACATTCAAACTTCTCTGATTATTTCAAAAGTCATCTTTTATTCCTCTATTGTCCAACCCAAGAAAAACCTTTGTATTTGATTTTGTCTCTTTTTAGTGTCATTCAGTGTTGAAGGATCTCTCTCTCTCTTCTTTTCCCCCGGGGGGGCATTGCACACTTTGAAATATCTAAGGCAGTCATCTTGTATAATGTCCCATGTTCTGGATTTGTATGATTGTTTCCTCCTGAGTAGATTCAAACTGATTTTTTTTTTGTCAAGAATACTACGGAGGTGACATTGCTTATCTTTTATTGTGTTGTGTCTGCAGGCACAAAACGCCAGGCCAGCTCACTGTTGGTGAGGCTTCGTTTGATGGCTTGGCTACGGAAGCAACGTTGGCTCTCTGCATTACAGAGATTAGAATGTTCCCCTCTGTGATTAGTAAATAATCCGAGGGCTGCTACTTGGAGAGCATGTGAATTCCCTGACCCCCATCATTTCTTTACCCACTGATTTTACATCCATTCATGATCTATGCCTGAATCAGGCATTGCAGCTTATGGTTACAAAATACTCTTTCCCATTTGAGCATATTCTTTCTACCTTTGGGGACCAAAAGGCTTTTTCCTGTCTCCTCTTTTCTTCTCTTCCTACTTGCTAAGTAATGTCACTATGGACTTCAGTACAGTCCATTTTAATTCATTAGTATTATGAGTCTTTTTTGATGTTCAGATTGTCCCCAAATGGCTAGTACATGGTATTTCTTGGCAATGGTGCCTTTGTGACAGGACCCCTTCTTCCTGGAGCGTTTCCTAGACTTGTGACACTACAAGTTACTCCAGGCTCACCCTGTACTTCTCCCACCTGGAGTCAACTGTTTCTCCTGGGACTCCTGATTTTTCTTTTTCTTTTTTTTTTAACTGGAGAGTGATTTTTAGAAATCAAGGTCTGGACTCATTGTGTTCTCATCGCCACTAAGGTGTCATTGTTTCTAGGTTTTTTTCAATGGACAGTCAAGAAATATATATTCAAGTCAATAATTCAGTGTCCTAGATTTCATCTGAAGTGTTCCCCAGTCCATATTTCTATTTTCTCTCTTCTTAAAGTGAAAACCCTGGTTCTCAACCATGTAAAAATATGACTTAGGGCTGGGGATGTGGCTCAAGCGGTAGCACGATCACCTGGCATGCGTGCAGCCTGGGTTCGATCCTCAGCACCACATACAAAAAAACAAAAAAACAAAGATGTTGTGTCCGCCGAAAACTAAAAAAAAAAAAAAATATTAAAAATTCTCTCTCTTTAAAAAAAATTAAAAATAAAAAAAACCAAAAATATGACTTATTTGTTCTATCCCAATAATATACACAAAATACTTCCAGAATTCCAGCATCGTACAGCTACAAACTGCTTCATAAACTTGAAATTTTATTTATGGTACTTTCTGCTTTTAGCATTTAGCCCTCTCTGTGTATGCAGAGTACTGTGCTCAAATCCAATTGTTTTCTCAGTGTGGTTAATACTATTGATTTCTGATATAGCATTAGAAACACTGGTTTGAGACTATATTCTATTTTAATATTTTCATTTTTATTGTTTAACAATTTCATTTTTGAACATGTAAGTTTATTGAAATTTTTATGTAGTCTTCCATGAAAAAGATATTTTATTTTACTTTATTTTTGATTAACACTCATTAATTGTGTACACTAATGGGGGGTCAGTGCAATATTTTAATGAATGAATACATTTAATGCATGAATAATCAGTGTTCACTGATTAAACCCAGCCTCTTTACCTGCCATATCCACCTTCCCTACGTCCCAGTCTCTAGTTATCACTATTCCACATTAAGGTTGACTTTTTTTTTTAACATTCACCTGTGAGACAGAACATGCAATCATGTCTTTGGGTATCCAGTTTATTTCACTTACATAATGCCTTCCAGCTCCATCCATTTTGCTGCCAATTACAGGACTTTTTTCTTCTTTGTGGCTGAATAATATTTCACTGTGTATAGATGCTACATTTTGTTGTATACTTCTTGTATAAGACTATTTTCATGTGTTTCAAGGAGCTCTCAGATTTTACTCTGATGAGGTTCTTATGTTTCTTGATAAGTTCATTATTTTGTTTTTGTTGTTTTTAAAAGATAATTTCCCATTAAGTCTCCTACCTGGTTGTTGACTGTATATTGACCCCCTCTTTTGTATGTTAACATCACAGTGGTTTCCTTATTGAATGCTTTTATTGTGTTTGTTTTTCCCTCTATCCCCTTTAGTTTGCATATCTTCCTTCTCAATTCTTATGCCTCTAATGGTTCTCTCCTTTCTGACTGTATTGGGGGAAAACTATCCATGTTAAATAACAGTGGACACAGTGCACAGACTTGCCTTGCACCTGATCTTGGTGAGAAATACAACAGTGGTGTCCATTAAATAAGATGTTGGTTAAAGTGCATATATTTTCTGTGGCTGAAGTGCATATATTTTATGATGTAAGGGAAGCTTCCATCAGACTCTATGTTAATGAGTTTTAAAAAAAATTTTTCGAATTAGTTATATATGACAGCAGAATGCATTTTGACACATCCTACTTAAATGGGATATAACTTCTCCTTCTTCTGGTTGTATAGGATATGGAATTATACCGGTTATATAGTCATATATGCACATAGGGTAATAATATCTGATTCATTCTACTATCCTTCCTACCCTGAAATGGCCACTGGATTTTTTTTTAACAAATCTTTTTAGCATGAGCAATCATTAACTCATCCTCAACACAATGATATAACCTGATATTCCCATTAGCCAGAACATAGAGGTACATATTAGTTTATTTAGTTTTCCTTCTCTTCGTATTGGCTTCTATGATCTTTGGAGGATGTGGTGAAACATTGGCTTTAATAGCCACTACAACTGCATAATATCCCCAGACTTCTTCCCTTTCCCTGTGCCAGTCCAAGGTGTCATGTGGCCTAATTCACTGACTCATCCAGCCAGCAGATGCCATCCTAGCTTCTGCTCAGCTTGCCTTTTACTGCAGGTTGTCCCTGGCTCCGTTGTGACTTAGGATACACCCATCCAGAATCATCCCTGCCAGTCAGAGGTCAACTTCCTCCACGAAATAGCTCAGCAGGTGCCACTTCCCTCATCTCAGAGCTGCCAGGAACAAGAGTGGCCTGCCCTTCTGTGTTACTCACCCACTCTGGGCATCAGTATTTCAAATGCAAATTCTGGGACATCCAGACACTAAATATCCCCTCCTTAACAACACTTGCAGGGGCCTTTTAACTCAGGGCTTATTAAATCAATAGGAGAAATGAACTCTCTGCTCAGCTGGTGGGTGTCCAGCTCAGCAGATTGGAGCTCTGTGTTCTTCTGGATCAACTCTTCTTTAAGGTAGATCCTCAAACAGCATTGGATGCCCTCTCTTAGAATACCTTCCTCCATTTCTCTCTCCATTCTCCCTCACCATGACTGGCTTGTTTGCAACTCACTTGTCTTCAGTGTTGCCTCATCTGCCAAAAACTCTGTATCTTTGACCTTGACCTCCTTGGTCCTCACATGCAGCCTAGACAGACCTGTGGTATGCATTTTGTGGCCCCTGCCTGGCTTGTTGGTTAATGTTTCTCTCTCCTCTTTCTGCTGTTGCTTTTCCCTCTCCCCTGGGGAGATGTCAAGATGTCAAGAGATGGTGACTGAATATCCATAATGAATACCATATACAATTATGCAGCATTTGAAGTAAACATAAATACATGCTTTCATTATTATATAATTATATAACTCTTATCAGGGTCTGGTTTGGTGCTCTGACCTTTTCTTCTGTCTTCCTCTTTTTTTAAAGCACATCTATGCTTCCCTTCTCTCCTGTCTAGGCTGCTAGACTAAATAGAGAAAGTCTCATCCATTTAACAGCTTATGGTTCAGACTTAAAGGCAAAACTTTCTACCTATCTTCACATAGGTCTATCTACTTTGTTCTTCATAGCATCTGCCCAGATCTGTATAAACTCTTCAACTTTAAAAAGTGACACTTGTCCCCAAATATATCTTCTGACCTTAGGGATGACTTCTTCCCTTTTCACCAAAGCAGATGAGGTTTTGTGGTCTTCAGCTGTGCAGGCACAAAACCA